GCCTAGATGGGTTGGGTTATTCTTTCTCGTAGTTATACCGTCTAGATGGCTTGGGTTGTTCTTTCTCGTAGTTATACCGTCTAGATGGCTGGGCTGTTTCTTTCTCGTAGTTATACCGTCTAGATTGCTTGTGGCTGTTTCTTTCTCGTAGTTGTACCGTCTAGATGGCTTGGGGCTGTTTCTTTCTCGTAGTTATACCGTCTAGATGGCTTGTGGTTGTTGTGTGTGTGGGGGTGGGTACGTATTTTTGGTTGGAGATCTGCCATCCTCACACATAGCTGTCCTGCCTAAACACGCAACGGGTGGGTGGTGGGCTGTATTTCTGCTGAGAATTATACGAGCTGAGAATCTCGCAGGTGTTCCGTAGGGTTTTAGGGTTTTAGTTGGGGTTGTGTGTATGCGTGTGTTGTGATATAGGTACACTGGGTTCGATATCTGCCATTCTTAGACATGCCTGTCCTATCTACAAACGCAACAACGGTGTGGACTGTACTTGAGGTTTCTGAGATTTGAGCCGGGCATCTTCAAATGAAATCATTGTCTGTATACAAACTTAAACATATGTATCGGCTGCGCCGCTGGTTGTGTGAGGTGTCTTTGAATTGAACGTCTTGTTGTTTGTGGGTTTGTAGTGAGACAGATATGTGGGTTCTTGTCGCTATGGACTGATAATCTATAGGTGATAGGCATCGTATTCATTTGTGGGGTGTCTTATGTATTGATCGTCTTGTTGTTGGTGGGTTTGTAGTGAGACAGATGTGTGGGTTCTTGTTGCTGTGGACTGATAATCTATAGGTTATAGGCATCGTATCCTTTTGTGGGGTGTCTATGTATTGATCGTCTTGTAGTTTGTGGGTTTGTAGTGAGACATCTGTGTGGTTTCCTGTTGTTATGGGCTGATAATATATAGGTGATAGGCATCGGATCCTTTTGTGGGGTGTCTATGTATTGATCGTCTTGTTGTTTGTGGGATTGTAGTGAGACAGATGTGTGGGTTCTTGTTGCTATGGACTGATAATCAATAGGTGATAGTCATCGTATCAATTCAGACTCGGAAGTAAGCATTCTCTAAGCGCCTTTTGCAGATGCGTGTTCGAGAAATTATGTCTCCATGCACACTCAGCCGTGTGCGCGTGCCGAAGCATTAGGGTTTAGGGTGAAGCCAATAGGGTTTAGGGTCAAGTCTTTAGGGTTTGGAGTTAAGTCATTAGAGTTTAAGGTTAAGACTGAGAAACTACGGCTCCACGCACTTTCACCTATGTATGCATGCCGAATCTTTGTGGCTATTAGGGGTTTAGGGTTTTAATGGGCTCTATGGCTATTAGTATTTGTTTAATACATTCTGTGCTTTGTTAGCCTCATCGGCCGGAACCATACAATCACATATTGTCACAGAACGCATGGTGTCACCTCACACAAAGTACTAGTTTCTAGTTCTTATACACAAATATGACAGCACCAACGGCAATTACTTATCGTACCACAAACGACTGACAATCTCTACCTATACGGGCCATGTAGTCTATTCACCGTAAGCACGGTCTTCGTGCGAACAACGAGTGGTATATATCAAAGACCACTCTCGAAGGCTCGATAAAATAGTCAAGGAAGTATAAGATTAAGCGGTTGATTGTATCTTGTTTAAAAGTTGAGTAAAGTTACCAGTGATATGAAGATATAAAGTAGTAACAGAATCAGCATAGTAAATGAATCTTACATCCCAAGGGGGATGGATGTTAAGGTTGATGTGTTGATGGATGATAAGGTGGATGTGTTCTGTGCTTTGTTAAAGTCATTGGCCGGACAGTACAATCATATATTGCCACTGAACGGATGGTGCCACCTCCCAGAGTACGTACGTGCTCAGGGTATATACACAAAGTGAATCCTTAGAAAGAAAGAAGTATCACCAACGGCTGTCCCTACCTACCAACACCATATTTGGCATAAGCGCGGTCTTCATACAAAGTACGAGTGATGTATTGAGGGTTATTCTTGCAGTGATGGATGATGAGGTGGATGTTTTCTAGTGCCTTGTAGATATCACGGGCCAGTACAAGCAGTCGCCGAGCACAACCTAAGCGATGGAAGTACATAGTAGCAACAAGGGATGGTAGTACATAATAGCAACAAGAAATGGTAGTACATGATAGCAACAGTTCTGCTGTTGTATTCTCTATACACACCACCCTATACCGTATAGCGAATGCTGGTCTAATCACCCGGCAATTCAATGCTGCCTATGTTTCTTCGATATCCGCGTACATACAGCGTACGTACAGGGCATGAGTGATATTCTAGGACCCATTCTCGAAGTGATGGATGACGAGGTGGATGCGTTCTGGTGCTTTGTAGGCATCATGGACCGAGTGGAGAACAACTTCCAAAAGGTAAAGCTGTGGGGATAGACAGGCTGTTGTAGCGTGAACGTACTGACTTTCGTGGCATATAACCAACACACACTCGGGCGTTTGTGTTGCCTATGCGAGATACACACGCACGGATGTGTGCGTGTGTCGGTTGGGGTAGTTGTAGATGTGGATGTGGTCAGACTAGTGTGCTTGGTATCTGTGGGGTTGTTCCCGTTGTGCTGTACTGCGACTGGCCTAGCTATCAGTACGTGAAAGCAGATCATTGCTTATTGAGACGCCTGTATGCATATATGGGAATGGAGACATGCCTAGCTTAACTAGTGTGTAACATAACCCTGAACCCTAGTAGGACTCACATGGTGTGCGTACTCTATTGGGTTGACCATACGAGTACATCTTGCGATACATCTACGCATATATGTGAATGTGCGTGTATGTATCTACCTAGTAAGATACCTCTACGCATATATGTAAATGTGCGCGTATTTATCTACCTAGTAAGATACCTCTACGCATATATGTAAATGTGCGTGTATCTAACTACCTAGTAAGATACCTCTACGCATATATGTAAATGTGCGTGTATCTATCTACCTAGCAAGATACTTCTACGCATATATGTAAATGTGCGTGCATTTTTTTATCTAGTAAGGTATCACTACGCATATATGTAAATTTGCGTGTATTTTTCTGTAAGATATCTCTACATATATATGTAAATGTGCGTGTATTTATTTATCTAGTAAGATGTCTCTACTCATATATGTAAATGTACGTGTATATATCTATCTAGCAAGATATCTCTACGCACATATGTAAATGTGCGTGTATTTTTTTATCTAAACGATACCTTTACGTATATATGTAAATGTGCGTGTATTTATCTATCTAAAAGATACCTTTACGTATATATGTAAATGTGCGTGTATTTATCTACGTAGTCAGATACCTCTACGCATATATGTAAATGTGTGTATATTTATCTATCTAGAAGGTACCTTTACGCATATATGTAAATGTGCGTCTAGTAAGATACCCCTGCACACATTGATAAATGTGCGTGTATTTATCTACCTAGTAAGATACCCCTACACATATATGTAAATGTGCGTGTATCTATTTACCTAGCAAGTTGTGTAACCCGTCAATCCGCTACCTCCCCTGAGCAGGATCAGAATGGAGTACATACCCTCCTGGGCCGACTCAGCCGACTGCTGCGCTACTACGATCCCGAACTCACAGCCCACTTTGCTGCCAACGGCTGTGAGAACATGTTCTTCTGTTTCCGGTGGGTGATTATTAATATGAAGCGCGAATTCGACTACGACAGTCTGCAGAAACTGTGGGAGGTATGTTGAACGATTAAATGGACAAGGCGGGGTGTTTATTTTCAAGGTGACTAGTTATATACATATGGACTATACAGGATTGGCAGTGCTATATAT